AGATTTCGTTCGAACTCTCCCCCATGGTCGCTTCTAATGGCTACTATGGTTGTGTCTTTTTCATTTTGAACTTTCTTTAGAAAATTTTTGAAAACACGAAATGCCTCACTTTTGTGAGTTAGAAACAAGGTCCATGTAAACCTAGAGTAGTCATCAACAATCACAAACGCAAAGTAATTACCACCAAAAATTTTCGTTCTAGAAGGACCAAAGAGATCCATGTGCAAAAGTTGAAGCAGTCTAGACGTTGAAACAACGTTCTTAGACTTAAACGAAGCCCGAACTTGCTTCCCCTTTTGACATGCATCACATATGGTGTCTTTTTCAAACTTAAGTTTTGGAATGCCAATTACTAAGTCTTGTGAAACCAATTTGTTCAAAAGGTTCATGTTCATATGAGCTACCCTTCGGTGCCATAACCAAGTGTCTTCCTCTTTACTCATGAGGCACTTAGCAAAGCCGGAAGAAGATTTGTCTAAGTTAACCATATAGACGTTATCGATTCTATCACCACGTAGAATGACCTTATTGTCACTAAGGCGTTCTAATGTGCATGATTTTGAATCGAAGGTCACACGGTTTCCCTTGTCACATAATTGACTTATGTTCAAGAGATTATGTTTAAGACCTTTGGCTAGCAAGACATTATCTATAGAAGAGTCTTCGGACTTACCTACCGAACCGATGCCGATAATTTTTCCCTTGTTATTATCTCCAAACACTACGTATCCTCCTTTAGCAGGTTTGATTTGTAGGAACTTGGATGCATCTCCGGTCATGTGCTTGGAGCATCCGCTATCAAGGTACCAAAGTACACTTGACGCTTTCAAGCACACCTACAAAAATGATTTAATAAGATTTAGGTACCCAAGTCTTTTTGGGTCCTTGAGTGTTAGGTGCAAAGTAGTAGTGTGATTCATTTTGTGCCCAATGCCTATGCCTGGTAAAGCAAACAGGAGCTATATGTCCTACCCTATTGCAATAGTGGCAAACTACGTTTGGGTTGTGCATCCTCCTAGGTGGATAATAGTTGCTAGGGGGCCTAACCATGTTCATCCTATTTTGAGAAAATATTGGTTTTTGAAAATTCTCTCTTCTAGGTGTCCTAGCATTATTTTGTCTATTTGAAAAATTATTTTTATGCACATTCATTTTGATAATTTTTCTTAGGTTTTCTAATATGCACATTTTCATTTCTAGGTTTTTGTCTAGGTTGTCTAGTGTCCTTAGGTTGACTAGATTTTCTATTATCCTGATTTTTACCTTTCTTACGTTGAGCCTTAGGAGGTTGTCTAGGTGTTTGCTCAACGTTTTTATCCTTAGATTCATTTATATCAAAACCTAATCCTTCCTTAGAAAAATGCATAGTGTCAAGGAGTAAGTTAAGATCTTTGTGTGGTGTATTGAATTTCTTAACCGTACTCTCAAGTTTCGCAACCTTTTCTTTTAAAGCTTTGCAAGATTCACATTCGCTTGAAGAGCTTTCCGGTTTGTCAGCTCTTCTTTTGCCATAAAACTTATTTTCTTGTTTCAACTTTTCATTATCTTTTTCTAGTTTTTCAAAATCATTTTCAAGAGTTTAAAGTCGTTTCTTTAATGATTTGTTGGTTTTAGAAGCGCTAAGAAATTCATCGTAAAGCTCACGAAGTGCTTCTTGCATCTCTTCAAAAGTGTAAGAGTCGGAAGAAGTGATACATACCTCTTGTACTTTGTCGACGTGGTCTTCGTGTGCCATGAGACAGAGGTTGGCAGCTTCATCCTCTTCTTGATCAATTGACTCGTCGCCGGAGTCACCACCCCATGAGATATAGGCTCGTTGTTTTTTG